CTAAAAATCAATCCAAAACTTGAAGATTTTCGTCTTGATGGTGCATCGTTTCCACAACAATTTTTTCCAACAAAATCAAATTATAGTAATTGAAAAAATTTTGTTTTTCTATGATATAAATAATTTCTTTATAGACTGTTCCAGCACCCGAAGCAATTGTCGCTGCAATAGCAAAGAACAGTAATACATCAAATTCAGTAAAATCCAATGATGAATAATATCTGAACGGTGCTAAACTTTATACACGTTTTGTTTTTTTTTGTTTTGTCTAAAAAAACCGATGCTCATATTTTTTCAAGTGGATTTCGATTTATTTAAAAGTATGCATGTATTTTTTTTTTTGCTTTCAAAATTTATTGTTATTTAATCTTTTTCTATGTATATATTACATTGGTTTGTTATTGTAGTAGATAGATAGATTAAATAGTGATGCATTTTCTTTTTCTATCGATAGAAATATGAAGAATTTTCATATGGTTTCGTTTTGTTTCTGGAACTATTTGCTAATAAATTCATCTCGTTTATTTAATAATATTGGTAAAATATTGAGATAATATTTTATTTCAATAGAAGAATTTAGTGTTTTAGGAAGAATTGAGATTGGTTTAGGTATTGGTGGTGGTGTGATTAATTCTATGCTTTATAATGGTAAGTAATGAAAAGATTAAAAAAACACTTGTTTTCTTTAAATATAAATATATTCTAGTTGATGGTGGTCATCGAGATGTTATTTTTGACCGTTTTCAAGGTGTTAAACTAGATGTTATTGAAGAAGGAACTCATTTTATGATTTCATGGCTTCATAGACCAATTATATTTGATATCTGTACACGACCACGATCTCTTCCATCAATAACAGAAATAAAAGGTATAAAAGCTAGAAGAAAACAGTCAACTTCAAGAGAGAGGTGAACATGAGGAAAATATAAGCTCGCGAAAAAAAGAAGGTAAATACGATGTCTATTGAAACATCAATGAATGTATATGACTGAGGTATCTTAAAAAAATTTGCGGCCATCGATGGCGACTCAACTGATCGGTTTACACCTCTACACTCATCATTCACCAATCTTAGGATACTTCATAAAACTTAAAACTGGAAGTCTCCGTTATTTTTTCTTCGTATAAATGAAATATGCATAAATTACATTTTATTATTTTTATTTTAGATTTACAAACAATTAATATAACATTACGTATTCTTTATCGATCAAGAGCTGAACTTTTACCAAAAATTTTTTGCAAGTTTGGGTTTAGATTATGAAGAACGTGTTTTATCATCGATTATTAATGAAGTTTTAAAATCTGTTGTACTAACGAGGGAACCTTTTCAACTGTCCAATCGCTTTTGAGTTCGA